GAGAGAGAGAGAGACGGAATTGAATTGAACTTTGTTTGTTGAGCTGCTTTATTTGTTGAGAGGGAGACAGAGACAGACAAGCAGACAGGAGAGTGTGTGCGTGTGACAGAAAAAAAACCCTGATGAATTAAAGTTTGTCTCGCTACACTTTCAATGAAATGTTTTCTGTGATCTGTTTTGAAGAAGAAAAAAACTGTTTGAAAGAAGAAGACTGCGTTTGTTGATTTTGGGAGAAAAATGTTATTGATCTATATATGGTCGCTTTTAAGGACAAGCGGGCTAACCCGGATTTCGGGGGTTTCCAGAAACCTTGACCTTCACCAAAAGTGGGCAATGCCCTACCTGTAGGAGACGTTTGGTTTCATTAGTATGTATATTTGTTTGGTTATAGAGAAAAGAGAAAACGCTCCTTGTTTTTGAAAGAAACTGAATAAGGGGCAAAAACTTTACCTTCAATTTTCTCACAATAGCATTTTTCGGGATAGCCCCCTTGTGCTTAATTAAAAGCGACCATATAATACAGACTTCTGTTCTGAATTGACTGCCCGTCACAATCAGACTGTTTACCGGTAGGACAAGTCTTTTCATCGGTAGGACAAGTCTTTTTAACAGCACGACAAGCCCGCTTATCGGAAGGACTGATAAACCCCTCAATGAGGTTTGCTTGGTCACATTCACACCAGCATTAATGAGAGACTGCAACCGGCTATCAGCTTGTCGGAATGCATTCTTAAATGGTGAAATGGTATAGATTTAACGCCCCTGTCAACACTGAACGTCTGCTTAAAAAACATTACGCCGAGGGCAAAGTTGTAAACACTCACATCCTGTTGGACACAAAACTACAACTTATTTCGAAGTCGGAGCATTTGTACTTCCGTCACGATATCGGACTGAGAGGAAAGAAAGGAAGGATGTGAAATATGATGATGCGGACATTACTCAGTTTCGAACCCTGAACTTTCGTTCAATTCAGCACATGGAATTATTTCTATTTTACAGTGTTGCAGCGGCGGCTCATTGCACTAAGTCTTCGTAAGAATGTAAGAGAATATAATTTGTTTGTTTTTTGGTCGAATGTTCGCTATTCGATTGCTAGTTTATTTCTTTGCTTACTTACTTTTTAGTCGGTTTCGGTGAGGTTTGTTTTCAGACGGTTTGGTTTCTTAAAACGCACGAAATGATGGGGACGTACTTGTACTTTGTCCCACTGTGCGTGATCGTTTCAGAGAAGAGAGCATCTGTTATCTTCATACAAAAGAAAGTGAGAGAATATTCGTTTGTTCAAGCGATTGTTCGATTATTCGGGGTTTTTTCTCTTCGTGCATGGGTTTTTGTTTCTTTGTTTGTTTTTAAAGTTTTTTTCCGTGTACCTGTTTGGTTTTTAAAACGCAGGTAGGAGGTGGGGGGGGGGGGCATACTTGTACTACGTCGCATTCTGCGTGACCGGTTGAGAGCGGAGAGAGAGTCTCGTTGTGCGTTCTTCGTCTTGGAGCAAAAATGTAAATACAAGTAGGCAGGAGGTCGTTTGCCCTTTGTCTAAGCATGGGAGAAATACTTGACTGAATTCAGCCCGGCCCTCAGCGAGCCTACACGACAAACTTCTGCAATGCTGTTGGCACGAGAGCTGGGTG